TCAATCCTCAGGCATTTGTGATTCTTACGTACGAGCACGTCAAATATTTGGCGGGAGAATTGTTAATTCGCCAACCAGAAAAGCTGGGAGGTTGAAATTTTAGAGAGATGTTCCCTGTCCACGTGCAACTTAAAAATTCCAAATTCGGTTTCCCAGGCACGTGGAGCACCCACACACCGGCATGTGGAAGTTTTGGCGGGGAAAACTCGATAACCAGGGAAGCTGAAAAGCTGAAATTTTAGGGGAATATTCCCTGTCCAAGTACAATTTAGGTATTTCAAACCCAGCCTTGAGCTAGGTTACATTTAAAGAACGACCGTTAAATGGAAATTTTATATTTACCTTATACAAAATTTAGGTGATTTGTGCTAGTGACTGCAAAAGGTAGGTGTAAAGCAACAACCATTCATACAGTTAGTGACCTGAGCACTTCAAGTCCGGTGCAAAAACTTACGATTGCACGGGCTTCCCGGTGCATTTCAGCCTGGGTTGCATTTGCATATATGCAAAAACGCATAATGAAGACACAGCTAAGGAAGGGATTTGTTCCCTGAGGTTATTTCGATGATTGCTGAGTTGAAAATCGGTGAAAAATGCAAGCACATAGACACACATACACACATCTTCTGTCTTAATGCATTTTCACCTTGGTGCAACGTGGAAATTCTAAAGGACCAACAAATGCGACTTGGAAAAGTACTACCAATTCTGCCGTACAAACTACCCATAGATATTACATTTGAGATATTTTCAAACAATCTCGACGTCATCTATGCTCTGTATAAAATAAGGCTAGAATTGTTTGTTAGGGTATTCTCCTCTTTTCTGCTCAGCTCCTTTGTTCAGATCCCTTGTTCAGAACAGTTTGCAAGTTGATACTTAGCGCAAAATGTGCCATTTTGATTTTCCAGTATTTCGGGCTGATTTAAACTCCTTTTTTCCTTGTCTTATTTTGAATTCATTCAAAACAAATTTCAGCGGTCTGAGTTCAGTTTGTTGAATTTTTTCTACCTTGCCTTCTACCTAATTTTTTTTACCACATCTCGGACGTCCCCTCATCAAAAATGGCTTCTTTTCCCGAACTCCTCGTTCTTTTTCCACAGACGGCATAACTCTGACGGAATAAACCCAGCCGACAGAAGGAAAATAAGTGGTCCAATTAAGAAAACTACCGCTTTGACTGTAAAAAAACCCCCAAAATTTCTATTTTTCATAAAAAACCGTATTTTTTCAGTGCCAGATTCGCTAAAGGGGAGGCTATCTATAGTGAGCTGTCCCCGCACGTTATCATCAGTTGGTCGCCATCATCAACAATACTTTATTGTGGACATTATCATCATTGCCATTATCATTATCACCATCATCATGAATCACACAAATACATCCGATATATTCTTTCGTGCTCCGAACAAGCAAATTCCGGTACGAAATTGACCCTGACAATTGACGAAAATCCCTCTGCTAACGTTGGCTCCTGAAAATCGAGATGCGCAGCTTTTGGATTTTGTAAATGCACAAGTTTGGGCAGTTCAAGGGGCAACCAAAGATCCTTGAATTCAAACTGTTAGTTACTTTTTCCGCGAACTTAACACAAAATAATATTTGTGCGCATTGATCAAATACATACCTGGAACTTATTCCTGTAAGTGTTGAGCACCATACGACCAACATCACTGTGTGCCTCATCTGTACCAATGATGACACGGTACTTGCAGTTGTGTGCTGCCTGCTCGAATGTACAATTGAATACGAAGCATCGCGCAACTGCTCCAAACGATTTGGCAACATCGCAAAAGCGCTTTCTAAAAGAAATTAGAGACAATTTCGATTTAGTCACATTCAAAAAAGCTATCCCATTATCTCATTTTTTGGTCATTCCCTCATCAACAATTCCACTTAATTAGACACTAGCAAGCTTCATTTCATTTCATCCCATTGCTTGGTTGCTTTAAACGATGAACTGCTATTGGCATATTGCCAGAAATCGAACCCGCCATTGACTTGCTTCTAAACAGCCCTTTGAGGACAAAACCTCTACCATGCAGTACGTGCTACTGGCAACTTATCGGAACCGGAACTGCTTTCGAATGCTTCGTCTATGCGAAATATCGAAGAAGGCTTTGATCCTAAACAACAAAACGACTGGACCCGATGCAGCGCCGTAGAAGTTACAAATGCACAGCGCATCTTCATTTGCTAGGAACAATCCGCGGCGAAATTCGTTCAAGCAGCACCGTTATGCACGATTGGCAGTTGCTGTTGTCTCAGTTTGTTTCTCAAATAGTTCAAAAAGAGAAAAGAAAATTGGCCAACGCACGGCCTGCCCGTGCGAAGATGCGTTTTTTGCATGTTTCCCCGCAGTTTTTGTTGCTACCGGCACCGGTTT